TTCAATCGTTCATTATTAATACCTTATAATCAAGTATATCCATCACTCTATGGCGATGATGATAAATCAAGTCATTTAATGAAAACATTCTGTCAAAGTCAAGATCATTATATGAAAGATGAAGATAATAATAATACACATGAAACATCGAGTTCATTTGGATTTTGTCAAGATACAGATTCTGATATAGATTCGAGTGAAATTGATGATGATGATGACGAAAAGAAAAAATCTTATGATAGTGGTTATGGTAGTGTCATGCCAAGACGACGTTATACACGAGAATCACTAATTATTATTTCACAAAATTTAAATAATAAAATGAATTCTCTTTTTTAAAAATTCATATTCTGTTTTTTTTGAAATTGTATATATATATATATATATATATATACATATAATGTGATGTAATAGCATTGCATGTTAAATTTTACTTCAAGTACTAACCATATATTATTCTTACTTTCATGAATTCAAATTTCAATGATTGTTATTTATGAATTGAATAGAGAAAAAGAAAAACAAATATGTATAGGAGAAAATAATGTGTTTTTCTTTTTGTTATTATAATTCTAGCATCTCGATTAATTCCTATTGATGTTGATATACATACGAAGAAGAATATGGATGAACATTCAACAAGTCATTATGATATTCCCGGACTTGTATTACGACGAGGACAACCATTTTCATTTACGGTGACATTTAATAGAGATTTCGAAGCTGATCAGTATCATATATATGTTCGATTAGCAATAGGTATATTAATTAAAGAAATAAAATTTAAAAATAAAAATCCATATGTAAAATAGGTGCTCGATCAATGATATCAAAAAAGACACAGATAAGACTTTTAGTAGATGGAACACCTAATGCAAATGGTTGGGCAGCTAGAAAGATTCCTACTGAAGGTGAAGATGAAAAGAAGAAGAATAATCGTATTTCTCTTCAAGTTGATTCGCCTTCAGATGCAATTATTGGCAAATATACTGTAAGTATATGATTACAAAAAATCCTATTTCTATTATATTTGTTTTTTTCATTCTTTATAGTTATTACTTGAAGTTCGTTCAGCTAAAAAAGAGGAAGAATTTCCAATGGATAAACAAGATCTAACATTATTTTTATTTGAAGTTGATATTTATTTTCTTTTTAATCCATGGAAAAAAGAGGATGCTTGTGCATTACAATCACCAGAACAAATTGCTGAATATGTCATGAATGAACATGGACAAATATTTCTCGGTTCATCTGACAAACCGAGACCAATTCCATGGTATTTTGGGCAATTTGAAAAATCGGCATTGCATGCTGCACTTACCCTTCTCGATAATGCACAATTACCACCACAAAATCGTGTTGATCCATCGATTATTCTTCGTATACTTTCATCAAAAATTTGTTCAAATCCAGGTGCAAATAATGGAATATTTTCTTCATCATATAATGTTCGACCTGTTACACCGGAAAAAAATGGATTAACAAGTAGTACAGCTATATTAAAACATTATCTTGCATCAAATTGTCGATCAGTACACGGTGGAAGTGGAACGAATTGGCAACATGCAGCTATTCTTTGTACTTTAAGTCGAGCTTTAGGAATTCCCTGTCGGATTGTTACTGTTTATAATGCTGCTTGTCGAGCTGATGGAACAGATAATAATGATGTTCATTGGGATACAAAACAACGACCGTTACAAAAACTCAATTCAGATTTAATATGGTTTGGATAAAATATTTTATCTTAGATCATATAATAAAATAAGTTCTATTTTAGTACTTCACAAGTATGGAATGAATGTTGGATGCGTCGTGTTGATTTACCTAATAATGAACAAGATTGGCAGATCATTGATTCAACTCCAGTACCAATGTGTGATGGTATATATATATATTGTTTTATTTTAATTTTCTATTATATAAATTATTTTGAAGGAATACGACGAACTGGCCCATGTCCAGTATCATGTTTAAAGAAAGGTGATTTAGGTTTCCGATGGGATTCACCATATATTCATTCATCAATTAATGGAAATAAATCTCATTGGATTGTATATCCAGATGGATATATGGAAATGTTAGGTTAGTTTTTTGTTTATTTAAAATTTATACTGTAAAACATATATATCTTTTTCTTCTTTTGTTTAATTAGATGTCGAAAGAAATAAAATTGGTACTAAAATAATTACACGATCATTAACTAATGAAACTGAACCAGAAGATATTACTGAACGTTATAAAAATGCAGCCGAATCGTCCAATGAAGCAGAAAAATCGGATACACAATCGAAAAATGATGTTAATTTTGAATTATTAGTATCAGAAGAGAATAGGGTAAGATTTCTTGACGAAGAAGAAGAAGATTTATTCTTTAAATAAAAATCCATTCTCTTTTTTCAAGTTTGGAGATACTATTACATTAGCAGTCAATGTACATAATAAATCAGAAGAAAAACGTACAATAAAAACAGCTTTTACCATATGTATTGCAAGTGGTACTGGTCCAAAATCAGCTTCTTATACTGATTATCCAGTTCAAACATTAAATCTTGATGGTGGCAAAGGTAAAAACCCATCTTTTTTCAAACTGAACTATTTATTTCGTACATTTCTCTTTCATAGATGAAACTATTCAATTTAAAATTAGTCCACCACAATATATGAAATATGGTCCACAAGAAAATATTGTTCTAAAATACTTCGTCAATGCACAAATTCCAGAAACTAATCAAACATATACACGTGATAGTAGTATTATCTTTATCAAAGATGATGTTGCTAAACCAGTCAGTTACATGTCTTTAAATTTTATTTAATTACTTTTTAATTTTTTTAATTAGTTTCTTAATGAAGATGTAATTGAAATTGGCAAACCAGTCTTAATGAAAATTCAAATTGCTAATACACTTTCACGTCCGTTAAATAATGGACGTGTATATATTGATGGGCTAGGTCTTAATCAAATAATGCGTGTAAAGTAAGTTATTAGTTTTAATTTTTCAATTTTGTTACCATTTAGAATTTCTACGAATAAATCAGAATTAATTTGCGAAAGGTTTTGAATAATAATTATTTTGACAGAAACTGACAATATCAATTATCATTATTTGATAATATTTATTTCTAAAAGATATGTTATCTTGAGTCTTATTAAAACTATTTTTCTTTTCTAGTCGATCGTTTGCACCCAAAGAATCAACTACTTTACGTGTTAGACTTCATCCAACACGTGTTGGAGTTAGTCGTCTATATATAACATTTATAGCCGATTGTCTTTATTCATCAACACAGTCAATTCCACTTGAAATAACTCGTGATCCAGTTAAAACATCAGATAGACCAGCTAAAAAATCTGTAGATCTACCTAGAAAACAAAGTGAACCGTCTGGAAAACCACCGGTACCATCCGCGAAACAAGATGAACCGCCTAAAGAACAAGAAGAAATACTGCAAAAACAAGCTGAACCAGCAGAAAAATCAGATGCATCACCTGAAGCAACAGATCAGCTATCTCTAGCAACAGAGATGGGAACTGAAAAAACAGATGAACCAACGGAAAAAACAGATGAGCCATCTATTTCAACAGATGAACCTTCTGAAAAAATCGATGAGCCTTCCGAAAAAACAGATGAACCATCTGAAAAAACAGATGAATCTTCTGCGAAAACAGATGAACCTTCTGCTAAAACAGATGAACCATCCGAAAAAACAGATGAACCAACTGAGAAAACAGATGAATCAACTGAAAAACCAGACGAACCAGCAGAGAAAAAAGACGAACAACTGTTAGAAAAACCTAATGAGACATCTGAAAAAGCAGATGAAGCACCTGAAAAACAAGATGAAGTGCCCAAAGAATCTGATAAACCAGCTGAGAAACAAGACGAACCAGCTGCAAAACCAGAAGAACCATCGGAAAAACATGATAAATCATCAGAAGATCAAGATGAAACATTATCAAAAACTGGTACAGACGTACCTTCAAGCACAGAAGAAAAATCAGAAACACCAGAAACAATACCTCCATCAGAATCTGCTACGATAACTGAAAATCAGGATGAATCATTAGCTAGTGAAGCACAACCAGCAACACTCACATTACCAACAACACCAACAGTTGAAGCTGAAAATCCCGAAATTACTCTATCACCAGATACAACAGAAACAAAATCTGACGCAGCACCAAGTGAAAATCAAACTGAAGATGGTGATCCAGCTGATCTACAAAATATTGATAACTTAACACTTCCTGGTGGCAAATCAATAGATAAAGATAAAATATCAGTTGATAGTTTAGATATGTCTAATGATCGTCGTACTGCTGAATAATGATAACAACTAATGATTAAAAGAGAACATTGATAATTTATATCAGCTTGAACTGAATTGCTGTTTTATTTATTGATAAACATACACACACACATCTAACGCCCTATAATGACATTTTTTTTTTATTTTTCAAATAAAAATCTGAATAAGTATCATTTATAATCAGAAAAAAAACGATATTCTTTTTGAATAATATTTTGCAATTATTTTTGTTAGAGTTAATCATTTAGAAAAAGTTTCAATAGATACTTTCTTTAAACAATGGAAGTTGATTTGGTCAATACAACTCGATAGAATAATTAACTTTTTAATAATAGTGTTGTTGATTTGAAGTATTTCTTCTCATTTGTATCATTGTCCTTGTATTTTTTTTTACTTCTTGTCTTCTTCAATCATTAGGAAGAATAGTTTGCGAGTGTTCTCATGTGTAACGATCACTCGCAATCGTTATTTAAAGGTAAAAGAAAAGATAGATACAAATAGCTGATGTACATGTAACATTAGAAAAAAAAATCTTCTATATGAGCTCTTCTCATAACAATTAATTCGTTATTTCTTCTTCTTCATATATATACATATATATATGGAATTTATTTCAATAATATCAGATGTTCATCATCATCATCATCGCCAAAATTCATATAATGAACGAAAATTACCAATTACATTGAACAAATCACAAACAATTAATGGTTCTATTGACAAATCAAACACTCGTAAATTATCAACAGATAATTTTACATATCGAACAGAAGCTTATCTTCAACAACGAGAACAACAACAAATGACACATAAATCATTATCAGTAACGCCTAAAACAACATGGAAGAATGTCATGCAACAAAAACGAATATTACAAATTGATCAAGCTGAAATTGACCGTGCACTTTTAACAATTGATTCAATTCATGGTTCATTCAATCGTTCAATGTTAAAACCTTCCTATCAAGTATATTCATCACTATATGGAGATGATGATAAATCAACTCGTTTAATAAAAACATTCTGTCAACGTCAAGACCATTATATGAATTATGAAGTAACAGTTAAACATGATGATGATGATAGTAATACACAAGAAATTTCAAGTTCATTTGGAAATATGCTAGATTCAGATTTCGATGATTGTACTGAAGATGAAGAAGAAAAAGAAAATGAAAATGAGAAGAAAAACTCTTGTGACAGTGGTTTTGGAAGTGTTATGCCAAAAAGACAGTTTTCAAGGGAGTCACTACTTAAAATTACTCAATCCTTGAGTAAAAACTAGGTCTTTTAACAGAATATATTGTAATAAAAATCTCATTCTTATGATATGAATAAATATTAACGTTTTTCTTTGTTCCATAACATTCATTGTATATGTCCATGTTATCACTGTTTTTTTTTTATCGATATCTATATATTGTCGGTTGATTAATAAGAGTATTTAATAATTAATTGTGCAATACAAGGACTAACATATATGACTATGTCACTCATAGTCATGCGAAATGATATTTTAACGAGTTTTTTTTGTTTTGATAAAGCTTAATAATTACCTTTTTTTTTGCTTTTTCAAGTGTCAAGAAATTACTCAAGTTTTAGAGTGTGCAGATAGGCATTAACTGATTTATTCAAAGTCTTAGATAACTATGAATTCTAATCTGACTTATATCAAAAAACTTTTATTTCGTCGTTGAGATCAATATTAATTACCTTTTTACCATAAATATGTAATTAAACAAATTTCAAAAGTGATAATTGGGCAATAATATTTTCTCCGATGTCAGAAACAATTTAGAATGTCAAGTAAAATAATTTACGACGTTTCTTGTCATAATATTTATGATCGTCTGTTATTCATTAAATTGTTTTCAAATATTAGTTTCCCCTTAAGGACTAATAGATCTTTCTAACTAATATTTCTCTCATAAAAGCAATTTTGCATGACATTCAAGTTGTATATGCAGTTTCAAATGATAAGATGAAGAGAAAATAATTTTATTATATGAGAAGAAATGAGTTTTTTTTTTAAAAAAAAAGAAAAGGCAATTTTCTACATTAAATCATTTTTTATTTAACAGTGCATTTTACCACTTAAGATTGAAATGACAGTAAGAAAAAGAAGAGTGTTTATATGAATATTGTATTTAGTAATACTTGGAAGATTGATTAGAAACTGAAGTTTATTAAAAACATTCTTATAAGAAGAGAGTTGCTAGTTATAACATAAAAGTTAAGAAAATATCAAAATTATTACGTTGCTATCATTGAAAATTAGTATAATAATGAACAAACATTTATTAAGAACTTGATGCATTTTTCTTATGAGGTAAGTTAAGAAGATAACATTCGAATTTATATAGAACAGTATTATAATGTGATTTATTATTTTTCTACCTCTATTTTCAATAGAGATAGCCTCGTTTTATTTTACATTTCCATCGTTTTTATATGTTTTTTGAATGTAATTAAGATATTTCCTCTTCTCTAATGTTTTTCAATGGTTCACTTAGATACGTGCCTTTCAGCAAATGAAGTCGTACATTGCTGATTCGGTCCATAAGAATTAAGTACCGAATGGTAGAGCATCAAAGAGTTTATTTCCATAATAATACTATATTTAATTAAATCTGTTTATTAATACATAAATACTTTGTATATAAATAAGAATTGACATATATATTGTCGTTTGATCTTAAAAGTTACAATGAAATATATAAACAACAATGTCCTTGATTTATATAATAGATTCCTCGTCGTCCATTTCATTTTTTACGGTCTAGTGACAAATTTTATTGATAATAAAAGTTTTTCTTGCATTTTCTTCTCATTTGTTTTGATAGTCATTTTGTTTTCTTTTTTACAATTTTTATTAGTATGAGAGCAAAGAAAAACTTGTGATACTTGAAAAAAAATTTTATACTTTACTCCTAATAGTTACACATTAAAAAAATATGTCTATTTTTTAAATAATCTACTTTATTTTTTTTTCTCTTTCAATTTTGTACTTTGAAATCATTTTATTCTATTTTTATTATTGTTATTGGTTTCTTTTTGGCAGTATCGTACATTATTGATACGATATAGACGACTAAACTAACGAGATCTTATTATATGAATTTAAAAGCAAACACGATATAGAAATAAAAAAAAAGAAGAAATTGGAGAATTTTTCTTTCATCTGAAGACGTCAGTCATATATTTGTGGATATATAAGAATGACGCAAATAACAAAGAAAACGAGAGAGAGAGAGAGAGAGAATTGCATGATCAATTTATTTCTAATACTCAATACATTTTAAATATATAAAGCTGGGGGGATATATTTTCTAAATATAATAACAAATAATGTTATACGTACAAGATTTACAACAGAATCGTCGGAATAATATAAAAGAATATGAACGTCTTCGTTCGTCAGCTGATCAAAATTTTTTACTTTGTAGTAATCAATATACAGAAAAATTATCTCAATCATCAATTCATACATCAACACCAAATGTTAATCAAGAAGGCACATCTACATTAGTATTATTAACTCGAATACAATCATTATTGTCTCTTAACAACAATAATAACAGTGACTTGTCCGTTTTGAATACTGTAAGTGAAGAGAGAAAAAAATTCGTTGTGTAGCAAATGGTTACCATTATTGTTATTCTTTCTTCTTCTCTACATTTCATGTGACTGTATGTTTGTTAAAAGATGAAAATTTTATTCTATTAACTCACTTTTACTTATTCAAACAACGCGGTCAGATGTGCAATTTAACAAAAAAGGCTTTACACGTGTAATGAGTGAAAGAAAGAGAGAGAGATGGGAAGAGAGAAAAGGCAAGTCCAATCAAAAGAAAACAAAACGTTTTTCATCTCGACTTTTTCTTGCTAAAAGGAGAATCTATTCTGTTTATTTAACAGAACGAGCTTTGTTCGTAATAGAAATGTGTTTGCTGTCATACACAGACTCAGTGTAAGCAGACAAAAAAAGATGGTCGACGGTCAGACTCGCCGTTCACAGATTTCTTTAAGCATGCAACAAGCGGGTCTCCTCTATGCTATCGATGCATTACCTACTGATACACTTGGAGTTGAGGGACAACGTGTACGACCTCAGGCAGATTCATTTTGGTCATATTATCCTGGAGATGTAGGAATATTCTATAAGGTTTGTGTATAATTGTACATTTTAAAAACGAGTATTTCATATCCTATCTAATCACTTTTTTTGTCTTTAGAAAACATCTAGTTGGAAACCACAAAATTCTCGGATAACACGAGAGAACAGAGATTATATGACAGCTGTAAGTTAAATTCATTAGATATAGAATATTTTTGACGAGAAAGAAAAAAGAAAAAAAAAGATTAGAAGGTAAAATTTGATGTATTCTTAAAAACAAACAAATTTTGTTTTTTGATTTTAAAAATGAAATTAGAAATAAAAAAAAGCTTTAGAAGTGTTTGTTTATAAATTTTTCGACATTTAAGTTGCAAAACAGATAAAAAATAATAGTTTTTATTCATTCGACATATTTTTTTGTAGTTAGCAAAAGGAATTACACGAGATGACAGACAACAAGTAGCGTACGAAACTAAAGATGGATCTTCATCTCGTTGGCAACATCCTTCATCGAATAATCTTTCTCGACCAGCAACTGGAAAATCAGGAACAATAGGGTAAAAAGAAACCCTAGTTTATTCTATATTTAAAAAAAAACAATCTATTCACTTTTTAAAAGCCGACCACCTACATCAACAAGTGATCGTAGTAGAATGTCTTCGACAAATTTCTCTGAGACTGCTAGTAGACCTACAACTGCTCCAGTAACAATTGATAAGTTGTCTCGTCGACTACATACAGGCAAAGTGAGAACAGTTATTGCCGCTCGACCTCCGCCACCAGCACCACCTCCACCTCCGCCACCGCCACCACCACCTTCAGTACCATTTCGTGTTCCACGTTTAATTGAACCATCAGGAAGTTCTAATAATTCAATCATTCATTCATTTGCCGATGGATTTAAATCACCTATATACAAAAGTGATAGTAATTTTGTTCATCAATTATGTTTTGATAAAAAAGATAATGTCATCGATCAACCTAGTAGTCGTGAGACATCTAATCATATTCCAACTAATGAGACTACCAATACGCGAGAAGAATTAATTGAAAATGATCAACATGAAAATAAAGTAAGATTTTCTTTTGAAAAGAAAATATTCCATTATTCATTTTTTAGACTAATAATCTCGAACAAGTCACTAATCTTGATTTATGTCAACCTGATTCTAATAGTGAAAATATCGAAATTGTAGATGATTTACTTGGTTTAGAAAGTCCACGTGAAGATGTAGAAGAAACTGATCAACGTACTACTGAGCAGCGAGAAGAAGAAGAAGGTGATGAAGATATTCTTCAACGTGAAAATGATATGGATGAATATTTATTTGAGTTAGCAACTGATACGTCATTATCTGTTTATGATTATAAAAGTCCATTTACTGAAGAATACGATCAAATTCTTTCTAACCAATCACAGTTTCAAACAAATAATGGAAATAATGATTCTAATTTAAGAGATCTTTATCGTGATAATAAAATAAAATCTGAACGTGATCCTAATATTAAAGCTGTTTTTGAAAAATGTATTAAATTAGCAAGGTACGATAATATTCATTTAGTTGATTCTTTTATGAATATCAAATATCTTTTCGTTTCAATTAGAGTCATCATTTTATATGCTGAAATTTACTTTTTAAATTTAGATTACAAGCAAATACAATCAAATGGGAACAACGACGTCGTCAAAATCTAATGACATACAATCGTTTATTAAAAAATTCAACTCTAGAGACTAGTACAACAAATATAGTTGGAAATTATTCATCTAAAAATAATAATAATAACAATAATAATAATGATATGCGAGATATAAATGAACTAAAACGTGATTTACGTTGTAATGAATGTAAACGTGTAACATGTCTTGGTAATTGTGCACCCGGTCAAAATTATCATTTCTATAAACGTATTGTTTCATCGATACCAAATCAAACATTTTCATCAAGACAATCATCAATATCAAATGGATTAAATAATCGTTGTAAATCTGGTTATACAACATATCCAATAAATTCTTCTCGAAATTCAACTGATCTAACGAATACTTATACGAGTGTAACAACTTTAAATACTAATACGAATGCAAATAATCGTATTCGATCATCAAGAACAACATTTTCTATGGGTCAAAAAACTCAACGATCAACAGTTGATTTACGTCCACGTTCAGTACGTAATGTAACACGAGACGTGAAAATGAAATATGAACAATCTAATTTAAGTCCTGTTGTTGTTGTACCTTTATTTGAAGATGAATCTCGTCCAAAACAAAAATCAACTAATGGACTTTTACCAGGAAAATCTTTTCGTTCACAACGAAGAGATTCATTAACAATGATTACACAATAAAAAGAAAATTATTATAAGTTAATATTTCATCTTATTTTTGTATAAATTATTCTATTTTATTTTATTATCTTATGAATAAGAAAATACTCAGTTCTTCAGTCTCTCTCTTTCTCTCTCGCTCTTTGGTTTGTTGATAAATATAATGAATATGATAATAAAATTAATTTATAATATTCTCTAGATATTATCAAAAGAATAACATATCTAGAGATATTTCAGAGAATAATCGATCAAAAAAAAACAAAATGTTATACAGTCGATTGAATAGGGAATGTCGTCGTAACTCAATAGGAGTCATCTTAAGCTGATTTGTTGCAGGCAATCAAAGATATAGAGTATATTCTCTCCCTTGATCGAATATATGCTTATGCTCAGTGTTGTTGTTATTGTTTTATCTTTCTTCTCTTCTCATCCACTAGAGGCATACAGATTAGGTCGCATACAGACATACAAATCTAATTGAAAGGAGAAATGCGATCGCCTTTGTTCCATTCGTCGACCCTCATGCATAAAGTGTGTCGTGATAAGAACAACACTTTTTTCCTATATACGTTTCTTACTCTCTCTCTCTCTCTCTTTCCCTTTACCATTATGTCATTCATTGACAGACAGCTAATGAGTACGTACAGATATATATATATTGGATGATGGTTATATATATATGTGTGGCCAAAGGTTGAATAGATTGTCATTGTGCACGCGCGAATTTGAGTGACACAAATTAGTATACAACTGATAGAAAAAAAAGAAAGGATAATATTATCTGTATGTATATATATATATATACATATATATATAAATGTGTGTATAAGCGCCAATGTTCAAAGGAAATCTGGTGCCGTGCTGTCAAGTTATCCTACTTGTATGATCATCACAGATGCACATATGTGCGCCAGTCTTCATCTCATTCATCTATCTTACTTTAAAATAACATTTATAATATTTCTTCCTTCTCACAAGGATATAGATCATTTGTCCTGTTGATTTCTCATCGAAATATACGACACGACAACAATTATGGGAAAAATAATGGAGGCGAACCAGCATGAAATATAATCTTTCTAAATTGATGTACATGCTTGTCCATAGAAAAACGAGACCGGATGACAACGGCAGGTACCTTTCTTTTCTTTTTATTCTCGTTTTTTTTATGTGCCTATAGAAATAAATATACACTTATGATTTGATCATCAAGTTTTATATATTTATACTAACTAAAATATGGCGACAACAACCATGGCTGATTTTCGAGAGATCGAATTGCACAAGAACAAGTGCCGCTAGGAATATTTCAACTAGCATACAACTTCATGCATGGCAATGATGGTAGTGTGCATTTAGCCTCAAGGTTATTAGCACTACACTCTCTTTTTCTGCTGTACAATGAGATAACAAGAAGAGAGCGAGAGACAGAGAAAAAGAAGAATTCACGATGGCATGAAGGATAAGACAAGCCGAAATATGCCTTCCAGAAGATCTGTAATCGATAGGATGGATGATGAGAGCAACACTTGCTCTCTCTCTCTCCCCCTCTCTTGTTCTGCTCTATCTTTGCAGTCGAGAGCTTAACTCTTATCCGACAAAGAATGATTGTACATAACAGAGAGTGTTTATCGGTTGCCACACTAAGTAAACATCCCCATATCAATGTTGTATTGTATGGAACACACATAGTTAAGGATTTGACAGAACTTTTATTTCTTTGTATTTTGCTTTAATATAGACTTTCATTGTGTCTCGATGATGTGTCAACTGTCAATTTAAAGATGAGAAAGAAAGAGAGAAAGAGCGAAAGTAACAGCTGTGGTGATACCGGTGATGATAGTACCCTTTTATTAGAATAGAAGATGTAATCAAGCACCACTGTAAATTTATATATAGAACAAAGCTTGTCGTTTAAAATGTGGTACAAGATGGACATGAGTAGTAGTAACAGTCGAACCGATTGACTTTACTTACTCAAGTTAATTGTTAAGTATGCATTTACATATGGGATAACTCATAAGTCAAATCATTTAGAGTCTTGTCCGTATTTGAGGTAAGACAACGATGCACATCGATCGTCAATCGATATTTTGTTGTTCTCTCTCTCTAGCTCTTTTCTCTCAGATTGTCTATTTCCTTCTTTACTTGTCTTCTGTCTTGCCCTCTCTCTCTCTCTCTCGCTT